ATTTAGAATGGAAGGGCAGATAAAGTGCTTCTCAGATAAGATCAAATTCAAGGAGTTCATCATCACCAAGCCCTTATTATATGAAATATTAAAGGGACTTACCTAAGAAAAAGAAAATAAAAAAGATGAACAGTGAAAGAACAGCAAACTCACAGTTACTAAGAATCACACCTAAAACAAAAGCAAATTAAGAGGACAGCTAGATGAGGAGTGAACCATAGAAATGAAGATCACATGGAGAGTTAGCAACAGGGGAGTGGGAGAAGGAGAAGGGGGGAGAAGGTACAGAAAATAAGTAGCAAAGACAGTAGACAGAAAATAGATAGGGGGAGGGTAAGAATAGTATGGGAAATATAGAATTTAAAGAACTTGAGACACGTGTTCATGAACTAAGGGGGGAATAGTGGGGGAGGGGGAGGGGTGTGCAGGGTGGAGGGGAATGAAGGGGAGAAATAGAACAAATGTAATGGCATAATCAATAAAAAATAAAAATAAAAATGATAATAAGCAAAAAAATTTAAAAAATAAAAATCTTAAAAACAAAAGCTTCAGTAGATATGTGTAGTAAAGTGAATCTACCCTCTCAAAAAAAAATTCTGACATTAGAATGCTTTCTCTATCTTTCATCAGTCATATTTACCTCAATCATTTCTTTATTATGCAACCTAGGTACTTCCTAAATTTTAGAAAGCAGCATAACCTGTCAAATAATTTATTATAAAATAATTTTTTTCAGAATTACTTCCTAGGAAGATTTCTACATTTTGACCTCCTTGTCTTTTTTTTATTAATTTTTTGTTGCTGTTGTTCAAGTACAGTTGTCTCAACTTTCCCTCCACCAGTACCCCCAACCCCAGCCATCCCCACCTCCCACCCTCAATCCTACCCCCCTTTGGCTTTGTTCATGTGTCCTTTATACATGTTCCTGACAACCCTTTCCCCTCTTCCCCCCCCCCATTATCTCCTCCCTTCTTCCCTCTAGTTACTGTCACTTTGTTCTTAATTTCAATGTCTCTGGTTATATTTTGCTTGTTTGTTTGTTTTGTTGATTAGGTTCCACCTATAGGTGAGATCAGCAAAAAGAAAGAAGGAGCTCCTGCCCTTTGCGACAATGTGGATGGATCTGGAGAGCATTATGCTAAGTGAAATAAGCCAAGTGGTGAAAGACAAATACCACACGATCTCATCTATAAGTTGACCTCCTTGCCTTATTTTACTGATTCTTGTTCCCAGATTCCAAGCCTGCAATATTTGCAGCCTAGACTGACTCATCAATGAGATATGATTCCCTCACTAAATTTATGGCCACTTCTTCTTTTTGAAGAAGGATTCTCTCAAGGTAAGAGATTTCTCTAAACAAACAGAGCATTTGCAATCTGCCAGAACCAAATGGTTCCAATTGGTGACTTTGCCCTTCTTCTCTGTGACCACTTTGGAAGAAACCACTGAACTATTGCTTAATACAATTTTATAGTAATTCCTTCTATGGAGAAGAGAAAATAAAAAATATTTATGTGGCATAAACTATGTACCAGGTACTTTCTTATGTCCTTTCCAATAATAGATCTATTTAATGGGCATTGTGATCTGCATTTTACAACAGGAAAATGAGATTCAGAGAGATGAAGAGAGACGAAGTTTCTTGTGTCATTCAAAATGGAGTTAATTATGGCTTTATATTTGGTTAGACCACAATTCCTCTCCGGGCCTCACCATTGTTGTAAGAATTGTATTAAATCATGTACGAGGAAGCCATTTGTAAGACATTTGTGTAGTGGGTATTTTGTCCCTAATTCTGGTATTTTGTTTGCAAGGCTAACATTAGTTTTCTTTGTGTTTGTGCTGCATTGATAAATAGGTGATTGATCTGTTAAATTAACTGCTATAAAGGTGTCTTTGGATAGCAAAGGGTTAGTCCTCTCAAACAATATATACAATACATACCTAGACAAGTGCTTCACTACCTTAAATTGAAAATTTGTGATTATTTCCTCAGAAGTGACTCACAGACCAATATGGGCTCCTTCTCTTATCTCAGTCTGAGCACTTCACTTTTACCTGTTTTACATTTCATTTCTGCACTAGCACTCTAAAAAAATGAAAATGACTGCTTACTGTCTTTAGCCAGTACTCTATAACTGGGCTAATTACAACCAGGCAAGTGATGTTCAGAAAATGAGACTTTTCAGGACCTTCCTGACCTGCAAACAGTCCCACCTACAGTGCTTTTCCTCGGCCAAATCCAGCCATGCCCACCTCCTGAGCAATGTTACCTTCTTGACTCCATAGTCTTCCTCTTCTCTGCTGCTGATACTCTCTTGCTACTCCACACCACCACCACCTCATCCCCAAGCTAGTCTCTTTGGGCCCTCATCCCTTAGCCATATGTTTAAATTTTATTCCCAATGTTATTGACAAAGGACATTCATTAGCCTATTCCAAATAAGGATTCCCAGAGCAACTTGTGCTTCTTCACTCAATTGATTCCCAGGTGCATGCTCTCAATAGAGCAAATATAACCTGTGTCACACTGGATAAAGGATACTCTGGGGTGAGAGGGGGGCTTCATATTCTGCCTTCTGAGGTCTTCAACCTGATTTCTCCCAGAACAGAAAAATCCAGGACTACTCTGCTCCTCAAAGTTCTTCTTTTATTCTCTTATTTATTGGTTCTAATTGAAAATGACAGAAAATACCCTCTGGTTCTATTCCATTCTGAATTAGTAGAAGGATAGAAGTAATAGGCACATTTCTACTAAATTGAGAAGGGATCACAGATAACTACTTCTTACCAAAAGAAGCTGCAGGATAGGATTTGGTGGCAGATAACTAGAAAATGCAATAAATTTTATATTATTTTGTAATTATGTGGCCTTATCATTTTTATATACCTCTAGCATAGCTAAGACTAAAATTCCACTATAGCTATTTGGATAGTCAGGTGAGGAAGTATATTTCCTGTTTAGAGCTTCATTGGTTTTACTCTCTGTGGTTGTGAAACCTGAAACTGGTGCAGATGTGACTGACTACTCAATCACTCCCTGAAGATTCCAGGTTGGTAACCAGAGGGCAAGGGCATCTAGAACATCGTGTAACTTTTCTTGATCTCTGATTCCAACTGTGGATTGCAACCTACTAATGTATTCTGAAATCAATTTAGTGAACTGCAAAGAGCATTTGAAGAAATTTTTTTTCATAAAATAAAATTTAAAATATCAAATTGTTTCACGTAGTGAGCAAGAAGTCTTCTATAAAAACTTTTACAAGATTATATATATATATATATGCATGTTTGCCAGAAAATTATATAAAATGTAGAGTGAATTATGATCCAACATGCTTTAAAGCTGCTGCCTTAAAAATGTCTATAAAGCCTTGGCTGTGTGTCTCAATGGATTGAGCACCAGCCTTCGAACCAAAGGGTTGCTGGTTCGACTCTCAGTCAGGGCACACTGCCTGAGTTGCAGGCCAGGTCCCCAGTAGGGGTCATGTGAGAGGCAACCATACATTGAGGTTTCTTCCCCTTTCTTTCTTCCTTCCCCTCTGTCTAAAAATAGATAAGTTTTTTAAATGTCCATAAAAACAATACATTAAAAAGTTTTCAATAAATCAATAAAAGTCACATATGATGTGACTTTTAACCACATGAGATCATAAAACAGTAGAAAACAAAAGTCTTTTTTATTTGTTTTTTTCTTAAGATTTTATCTATTTATTTTTAGAGAGAGAAGAAGGGAGAGAGAAAGAAAGGGAGAAATAAAGAGAAACATCAGTGTGTGGTTGCCTCTCATGTGCCCCCAACTGGGGACCTGTCCCAACACCCAGGCATGTGCCCTAACTAGAAATCAAACTGCCAACCCTTTGGTTTGCAGACTGGCACTCCACCCACTGAGCCACACTAGCCAGGTCAAAACAAATATTCTTGAAGTGCTTAAATATAGAGTCTCTTAGAAAACCCTGAATTATAGTTTTATATATTTTACCCATAAAATTTTTATGCCCACATACACAGCATGTTCTACATATGATTTAGTGTATTCATAGACCTGATAAATTCAATCTAAGAATTAATGAATCCCTAGTTAGAACTCTTGCTTTAAATATTTTTAAGCTCCATAAATTTTCTTGGAACATAATAATTCCTCCCTATTTTTGTGGGTAAGCAAGACTCTAGATCTAAAGTTTTGAATGCATTTGTGTAAGTAAATGCAGGTTTTTTACTTTAATTTAATATTTACTTAACTCTAGGAAGATATGTTGAATGCTTCAAAAGACATAATTACATAATCCTAATACACTAGTCCTCCCTTATTCATGGAGGATGCCTTCCAAGAAACTTAGAAATCTGAAGTGTAAAGTGAAACCATGAGTAAAGGAAGACTACTGTAAATTCTAACAAACAGATATGAGCAGAGAAGCTTGGAGGGTCCATTAAGAAGAATTGAGGAATTGGTACTTTTTGGCATCAAGGGAATGAAGAGAGTTGAACCACAAGAAAAATGAATGGCTGCTACAATTATATGAAGAATAAAAACAAAAACAGCAGGGAAGAATAAGAAAAACAGCAATCCTGAGAAGTTAGGCCAACAAAGAATGTGGGGCCATGAATGGAATCAGTGGTAAGTAAGGAAAGTGAATACAGGGGAAAAAAAATTAGTAACTATTCCGGAAGGAGGCAGCTGCTGGAAACATTCTTTTATTAACTCATTTTACAAACTTTTTGATCATCTGTAAGGCAGACACTTGTTTCATGTAGGCAGTGGGGAAAGTACCAGGTGGGGAAATAATGACAAGGACTTTTCTATACAGGACAAATGAGCCCAGGAAGGATCCAACATCATTCAAATGGGTCACTTGTCTGGGTCCTGTCACCAGAGGAAAGTTCATGGTCCATCTCCTTTTGTTCTTTTCAGATTTTACCTCTTCTTTTCAGAGCACCTCTTCTTTTCTCACCTTTTATTACTATCATTTTTTTGCCTTGAAACTCAAATTTTTTCAGCAATGAAAAATAAAACCATGTTGACTGAGTTTATCCTGCTTGGTCTGACAGATGTCCCTGAACTCCAGGTGGTGGTTTTCACCTTTTTCTTTCTCACCTATTTGCTCAGCATCATTGGAAATCTGACTATCCTCATCCTCACCTTGCTGGACTCCCACCTTCAGACTCCCATGTATTTCTTTCTTCGGAACTTCTCCTTCCTGGAAATTTCCTTCACAAACACCTTCATTCCCAGGGTCCTGATCAGCATCACAACTGGAAACAAGAGTGTCAGCTTTGCTGGCTGCTTCACTCAGTACTTCTTTGCCATATTCCTTGGGGCAACAGAGTTTTTTCTTCTGGCTGCCATGTCCTACGATCGCTATATAGCCATATGTAAACCCCTGCATTACAGGATCATCATGAGCAGGAGAGTCTGCACCCAGCTGGTTCTCTGCTCTTGGCTAGCAGGGTTAATGGTTATTATACCACCAATCACTCTGATGAGTCAGCAGAACTTTTGTGCATCCAACAGGCTTGATCATTATTACTGCGACTATGAGCCTCTTCGAGCACTCTCTTGTTCAGACACAAGCCTCATAGAAAAAGTTGTCTATCTTGTGGCATCTGTGACCCTGGTAGTCACTCTGGTGCTAGTGATTCTCTCCTACATGTTCATCATCAGGACTATTCTGAAGCTCCCCTCTGCCCAGCAAAGGAAAAAAGCCTTTTCCACTTGTTCTTCCCACATGATCGTCATCTCCCTCTCTTATGGAAGCTGCTTCTTCATTTATATTAAGCCCTCAACGAAAGAAGGGGACAAATTTAACAAGGGAGTAGCTCTGATCTTTACTTCAGTTGCACCTTTGTTGAACCCCTTCATTTATACCCTAAGGAACCAACAGGTGAAACAAGCCTTCAAGGATATGGTCAAAAAGCTTGTGAATCTTTAAAGAATATCAGAATTAAAGCCTTAATAGATGAGTCCTTACTATGTACCAAGCTCTCTGTAAGTTACTAAGTATAAGTATCCAATAAATAGTTAAACTCTAGGCCAGTGAGAGATACTTGAAAATAAATAAATTACAACCCACTAAGTGTTCATATAAATAAGTTCAATCTGAATTAAAGAGTCAGTATATGTTTTCAGAGGGGATGCTATTTAAACTGCATCTTAACAAGTGTAGTAGGCCAAGCAAGCAAAAACAGAGAACAAGAAACTTGGATTGAAAGCATATTGTTGGTGGGACAAAATTTAAGTCCAATGGGATTGAATAAATGTTGTCATTAATTTCAATAAAATAAAAAGGAGAAGTTGTGAGGATGATAGATTTAGTTTTGAATTGGGCACCTGGATCTGGGACCAGGTCTACATATTTAGCAGTCCTCTCCATGGAGATGGTAATTTATGTGGGAATAGAGGAAATCACAAATAGAAGCTAGTAGAGATGAACTTTAAATAATAAACTCTAGGGATCCTCTCACATTTTAAAGAGCAGAAGAGATTATAAGAAAGGCAATAGACCTATAAAATTCATATCTCAGCCCTGGTTGGTGTAGCTCAGTGGATTGAGCGCGGGCCTGAGAACCAGACAATCGCGGTTCGATTCCCAGTCAGGGCACATGCCTGGGTTGCAGGCCAGTTCCCTGCAGGACAGTTCCCAGCAGGGGACGCACAAAAGGCAACCATACATTGATGTTTCTCTCCCTCTCTCCTTCCCTTCACCTCTAAAGATAAATAAATAAATAAATAAATAAATAAATAAATAAATAAATAAATTTGTGTCTCAAGAAACATGGTTGGCAATGTAAAACACTACAGACAGCAATTAATGGAGAACAAAAGTCAGAGAATTAACAAAAGGGTCTTGTTGATTTCAGCCATTTTCAGCAAATGTGGAAACTGGGGTGGAGTAGGAAGAAGTCAGGCTGTTGTGGGATGCTGGTGGGTCACTGCTGAAAAGTTAGAAATGGTAAAACGGAATTTCAAGAGTGGAGAAATGAGAAGAACAACCTCCAAGCTATGTTCTCCATACTTTCTCATTATTAGTATATTACAGTAATGATTATACACTTAAAGTCTGTATTTACCTATAGTCTATAAAATCCAGGAATGCAGGGATAATATTTTCTTGATCATAATTCCATTTATAATGTTAAGCAATGGTAGGTGCTCAAAAATTAGTTGTTGAATAGATGAATAAATAATGGATGGGTAGATGGATGGATACACAAATAAATGAGGGAGCCCAGAACTGATTTTTTTTAGTGAAGAATCCTGATCACTTGAGAATTTATATAATGAGAGCAATGAATTAGCAAGGCATGTCTCATACAGACATTTTAGAAATGCCTGGAATTTTTATTCTATTTTACAAATAAGGAAACTGAAGCTTAAAGAGGTGAAATAGCTTATATAAGATAACACAGCTGAGTGCCTAAACTAGCACCAGAAATCAGAGTCCCACTGCTTGGCTGCTGAGCAATACAACCTTCTACCCATTCCAACTGGTTTTAAAGTTTACTCTTCTAAGTGTTTTTAAATATTTTAAAGTAGCCTTGGATTTCCACCTGTTTCTCACTTTTTCCAAGCTCTTGTTAGATGCCTTTATGACATGAATCTCTTTAGAAAGTTGAAAGCACACAAAATCCCATATTATTCCACCCATTGTTTTTAACTTCTCATAAGAAGCTTCTCTGCCTGGCTGGTGTAGCTCAGTGGATTGAGCACAGGCCTGCGAACCACACGATCGTGGTTCGATTCCCAGTCAGGGCACATGCCTGGGTTGCAAGCCAGTTCCCAGCAGGGGCCATTTCCCAGCATGGGATGCACCAGAAGCAACCATACATTGATATTTCTCTCCTTCTCTCCTTCCCTTCCCTTCCCTTCTAAAGATAAATAAATAAAATTTATTTTAAAAAAAGAAGCTTCTGCTTTTTGTGTCCATATCTGTTCCAACATGTGTATGTCTCTTATTCTTTTCCTCTTTAAGAGGAAGTAGAATAAGGGGATAGGACCAGAGAAAGCAGTATTTTTCTTCCACTTTCATCTCTTATAAGCTTCCAATTAGGATTAAGTTATGAACAAGAAAGCTCACATCCACTACTAACTCACATACCCTCCTCCCTATTCTTCTTTCTGAGCTACAAGTCAGTGGCTTTGGTTCCCAGGCTTGAGGACAGGAATAATGGCATTATAGCATATAACACAGTGTCATGCTCATAATAGGCACTCAATAATTTCCATTAGTAAAAGAATAAATGAATGCGAGAATGACATTTTTATTTCACAAAGTTTAAGTAATTTTCATAAGCTTTTCCATCACCTATTTGGTTTTAGTTTTTTAAAAGACTTTATTTATTTATCTTTATAGAGAAAGGGAAGGAGAGAAATATCAATGTATGGTTGCCTCTCATTCGTACTCTGCTGGGAACTGGCCTGCAACCCAGGCATGTGCCCTGACTGGGAATTGAACTGCAGTCCTTTGGTTCACAGGCCCATGCTCAATTCATGGAGCCGCACCATCCAGGGCACCTATTTCTTTTTTAAGGCACCAACTCCTTCCTTTCTAGATGCTTTTAAGAATACTTTGGACCACACAATTATTTTATTGTAAAGACATACACAAATAACTCCTCTGTTAATGTTAACTTGTTTAAAATTATTCTAAAAGATATTTCCTCCTTTTATCAGGGATATTCATAGGTAAATAAAGTAAAAATAGAACTGCATTTTCACAAAGGCAGTCTAAGCATATTATCAGAACTCTAAAAGACACACATACCCTTTATTAAAATATTTTTCCCATCAATTTATCTTTTATATCTACAATCTACTATTAGGAATTAATCTGATTTGAAATCACTCTTCCTAGTAAAATGAAATTAAGAGAAGTGACACACTGGTGTGCTATAATGGCAAACATCCTCCAAATTTCAGTGGCTTAAATAACAAAAAGTTATGATTTCTCCTACTATGTGTCCAATGTGTCAGCAGCTAACTCACCTCCACATCATCTTTTCATATAATTTCATTATGCTGCCATCTCCACATAATGCTTCAAGAGTCACCACAACAGGAAATGCACACAGCTGGAATGTCTGAAACCTGCAATTAAATACTCCACCTAAAACCCACTGGCCAAAGTGAGTTAACAACCTACAAAGGATCCAAGAAGGGAGATTTTCTCTCTTTCTCTCTCTCTGTGTATCTCTCTCTCTGTATCTCTCTCTCTCTCTCTCTCACACACACACACACACACACGTAGAAGGAAAGAAAGCATGAGAAGTTTTGTGCAAAAGGTTAGAAAACTCTTCAAAGTAGAATATGTGACATTCTTTCCAAATAACAACAAAGTTGTAAACGGAATTGTCTAAGGGAAATTGGCAGAGCAAATTACTGCAATGAAGGCTATAGCAACAGTGAGGAGGACAACGTCCCATGGTTTTTTTTTTAATACAAATCTTATCATTTCACTGTTTTTAAAACCTTCTGATGGCTTCTCATTACTTAAATTCAAAATTCAGAGGAGCCAAAAAAAAAAAAAAGAATGAAATTCAGTGAAGAAAGCCTATGTAAATTAGGGGATACCATTTAGAAAAACAATCTACACACTACTGGAGTCTCAAAGAGAAGAGAGGGGAGTGGGGAAGAAATCTTAAAAGTTAATGACTGAGAACTTCCCAAATCTGGAGAGAGCAGTGGACATCCAAGTTCATTAATCTTAGACGTTCCAAAAAAAATTCAACCAAAATTATTTTCTCCAATACACATTACATAAAATTGTAAATTCAATAATGAGGAAAGAAGTTTAAAAGCAGTAGCAGAAAAAAAATCCTCACATACTAGGGAAACCCCATAAGACTCTCAGCATATTTCTCAGCACAAACCTTGCAGACTCAGAGAAAGTGGAATGATATATTCAAAGTGCCAAAAGAAAAAACTGCCAGCCAGAATACTTTACTTAGCAAGGTTGTCTTTTAGCAATGAAAGAGAGACAAAGGCCTTCCCACACAACAAACCAAAGCTAGGAAAGTTTATCACATGACATGACGTAGAGGAAAGGCTGAAATCAAAGGATACTGATTAATAACATGAAAACATAAGAATTTATAAAACATACTGGTAAATGTAAGCATATAGTCAAATTTGAACACACTAATACTGTAATACAGTGGTGTGGTAATCACTGAAATCTAGCCTAAAGGTTAAAGGACTAAGGTATTAAAAATAACTATAGCTACAATAATGTGTTAATGGTTAAACAACATAAAAAGAAATAAATTGTACAAGTTCTGGTCAAGATGGAGGTATAGGCAGGCTTGCTTTCACCTCTGTGTAACCATAAGAAAGATTAAAACTAATCTCAAAAACAAAAAACCCGCCCAGAACTGTCAGAAAATCTAACTGTATGGAAGTCTGACAACCAAGGATTTAAAGAAGGCATATTCATCCAGACAGGTAGGAGGGGTGGGAGAAAGGGAACTGGGACAGAGATGATGTGGTGTGGTGGCAGAAAGGTGGTGGTGACCAGGAAGTAACAGTGCTGGCTGGCAGAATGGGGGTCCCTTGTTAGGAATACCGGGGTAGTGAACTCCAGGCCAGACTGCACAGCCCAGGGTTCCAATGCTGTGGAAAATAAAGCCTCATAACTCCTGGCTATAAAAACTAGTCAGGGTTGGAGCAGCAAAAGAAACTACATGTCTCTCAGGAGAGTCTGTTTAAAGGACCCACAGGCAAACACACGACTCTGGAAATCACCACCAGGACAATAGCTAGATGCGCTCAAGTCATATAAGTGACTGGAAGCAGGGCAAGTGCCAAACAACCCTCCAGTAGTCATGCAGCAGCATTGCTTTTTCTCTGACCCCTCCCCCACAAGCAAAGCCACAAAGCAGCAGAGCAGGCTGAGCTTACCCTGCTGATTACTTAACACTCTGAGCCATACAATGTAACAGGCATGCTAAGATAGGGAATCAAAGCAGCTCTACCTAATACACAGAAACAAACACAAAGAGGCTGCCAAATTGAGGAGACAAAGAAATATGGCTCAAATGAAGGAACGGAACGAACTTCAGTAAAAGAACTAAGAGAAACAAAGATAGCAGGCCTACCAGATGCAGAGTTTATAACACTGTTGATAAGGATGCTTAGAGATCTCACTGGATATGGCAAAAGCATAAGAGACAAAATAAAGGCTACACTAAGTGCAATAAAGAAAAATCCACAGGGAAGCAATGGTGAAGGAAAGGAAGCCAGGGTTCAAATAACAAATTGGAACACAAGGAAGAAATAAACAATCAGGGAAGCAATGGTGAAGGAAAGGAAGCCAGGGTTCAAATAACAAATTGGAACACAAGGAAGAAATAAACAATCAACCAGAATAGAATAAAGAAATAAGAATTCAAAACAACGAGGAGAGAATAAGACAACTCTGGGATATCTTTAAATGTACCAACATTCCAATCATAGAGACTCCAAAAAAGAAGAGGAAGAGCAAAAAAATGGAAACTTGTTTGAAGAAAATAATGAAAGAAAACTTCCTGACTTCTAGTCAGGATGGTGATATAGGCAGACATGGCTTGCCTCTTCATACAACCACTTCAAAATTACAACTAAAACATAGAGCAATCAACACTCAGAACCATCAGAAATCAAGTGGAATGGAAATTTGACAACTATGAATATGAGTTGAATGAAAGTTTGACTACAGTGAAATTAAAGAAACCACATCCATCTAGACTGGTAGAAGGGGCACTGATCCAAGGGGCACAAGCTGGTCCAACACCCATGTGGATAAAAATTCAGGAGAGATATCTTGGGAGCGAAGAGTCCCAGACCCACACCAGGCCCCCAAGCCCAGGATCCCAGTGCCAGAAATGTAAATCTCCACAACGTCTGGCTGAAAAAAAAACAGTGTGGATTGAGTTGGTGTAAGAAACTGCTGGAGCCCCAAGCACTTCTGTAGTAGACCACTCTGCCTGATTTTAGAAATTGTATCTCTAACCCTGTGGTTAAGGGCAAGACACAACCTTTGGAATGCCAGCCACAGGAGACAAAGCCTGTCTCTGGTAGCAAATGCTGCCTCAGTTCCTCTCCCTGCCCCCAGAGCTTGGTCGGAAGTCAATGACAGGTAAGACCCCTCACAGCGGGGGACAACCTAAGCCAGACTCTATCACCTGGGAGGCCTTCATGGAAGGACTCAGGGGGCTGCAACAGAGAGCAATGGACTCTTGCCCCCCAGCTTTGTCAAAGCCTGACTCCCCATGTACTCCGGGAGAAGTGCTTCCTGGCTCTAATCCCCTTAAGCCTGAATACCTCATGGAGAGAGGTGCAGCTCCTTGCCTGGCCAGAGCATGCCCTGGGGAAAAATCTGGCACCACAAAGACTTGCTGATTAACCTGTGAAATCTGCTCTGGTAAGAACGCTTTCATTCATATGATAAGGGTCCAAGAGGAAATGAGTATGTCTCCCAAAGTTTCTGCAACTGTCTTCCTGACAGACACTCACTCAGACTGAAACCCTCAGACCTCTTTGAAATGTTATCTACTGTTTGATCCTTGCCACCCGGTATTCCTGTGTATTACAACCCAATAAAAGGCTATGGAAGAAGGCACTTGGGGCCTTTTTCTCCTCAGAGAAACTGGCTGCTGCTGGCCTCTTTCTCCTCAGAGAAACTGGCCACAGCCCACAACTTCATCCCCAAACAGATCTCATCTTCTTTTGGCCGTATTTATTCACTCATACGTGTCCGTGGCACCAGGGGGACCTCGAGAAAGTGGTCGCCCTCACACACTTCCTCTCATAGAACACACACATGGACTCACCTACTCAGGCTCACTCCCTCTGAGCCCCAGCTCTGGGGTAGCAGCTTAAAAGGCACCAATACTATACAGGGAGAAAATGAAGTGTCTCATATCAAGGCAAGCAGAGGCCCTTGTGCCTTTGCTAAATCCTCACACCACAGAGCTGGTAAGGTGGTGTCATATCTAAGACTTCATCAACCTGACTAACAATGTTTGACCTGCCTCAGAGATCCCCAAAGGCTCTTCCCCACCCAATTTATAGACCCACCCAATCTTCATTTTCATAATAATATCTGATCTTGTCTTCTAAATCTTATCAAACAAGCAACAGCTAGCTTCAATGAGCCCTAGTAGCAGCCAGATTAGACTCACAGCTTGGCTTCACCTGAGAATCTCCCAGCCCAGCACAAGAAGCAGCCATCTCAGATTGCTTTATAGCTCAAGCAGGGTGCCCCAGGCAAAACAAAGGTGGGGGCTCATGTTGATCTACAGCACCTGATAACCCCAGGGCCAGCACACCCAGTAGACATATTGGAGCACCACAACTAACCCCATGAGCAGCTGATCCTCCACAGACAATGGAGGTTGGTGGTCAATGGTTGCAGCCAGTCCTTGCAGCTTACTGGACTGGGTAAATCCCTCCCATTTATCTGTCAACAGCAACCAAGAATCAACTAGAAGAGAAGGGTGTACTCAGCCCAGACATAGGGTGAACCTCGAGTACCCAGCTTGCATGACAGGAAAGTCTGTGCCACTGGTCCCGAGAGAACACCCACGACAATAGGCCCCACTACCAAGACATGGAGTCAAAGCAGCTCTACCTAATACACAGAAAGAAACACAGGGAGGCTGCCAAAATGAGGAGACAAAAAAACATGGTTCAAATAAAAGAACAGATCAAAACTCCAGAAAAAGAGCTAAACAAAATGGAGATAAGTAATCTATCAGCTGCAGAGTTCAAAACACTGTTTATAAGGATGCTCAAGGAACTTAGTGAGGACCTCAGCAGCATAAAAGAGAGTCAGAAACGAAGAATACACTTCATTGAAATAAAGAACAATTTACAGAAGAGTAGAGTGGATGCAGCTGAGAATCAAATCAATGATTTGAAATATAAGGAGGCAAAAAACAACCACACAGAACAAAAAGAAAAAAAATTCCCCCAAAAATGAGAATAGTATATACAGCCTTTGGGACAACTTCAATAAGTCCAGCATTTGCATTATAGGAGTGCCAGAAAGAGAAGAGGACGAGCAAAAAGCTGGAAATCTATCTGAAAAAATAGTGAAAGGAAACTTCCCCAATTTAGTGAAGGAAATAGACATGTTAAGTCCAAGAAGCACAGACAGTCCAAACAAGGTGGATGCAAAGAGTCCCACTCCAAGACACATCATAATTTAAAGGCTAAAGCATAAAGATAAACTGAGACCACTGCGCTGACTGGTGTGACTAAGTGGATTGAGTGCTGGCCTATGAACCAAAGGGTTGCTGGTTCCATCCCCAGTCAGGGCACATGCCTGGGTTGCATGCCATGTCCCCAGTAAAAGGTGTATGAGAAGCAACTACACATTGATGTTTCTCTCCTTCTCTTTCTCCTTCCCTTCCCCTCTCTCTAAAAATAAACAAATAAAATCTTTTTTAAAAAGAGAGAGAGAGACTCTTGAAAGCAGCAAGAGAAAAGAAGTTAGCTACCAGATTGTTGCCAGATGGGAGGTGTGTGGAGGACAGTGGGTGCAGAGGTGAGGGGATTAAGAAGTACAAGTAGACCATAGCTGGTGTGGCTCAGTGGATTGAGCATGGGTCTGTGAAGCAAGGGGTCACCAGTTCGGTTCCCAGTCAGGGAACATGCCTGGGCTGCAGGCCAGGTCCCCAGAGAGGGACACATGAGAGGCAACCACACATTGATGTTTCTCTCCCACTCTTTTTCCTTTCTCTAAAAATAAATAAATTTTTTAATCCAAAAAAAAGAACAAAAAGTAGTTACAAAATAGCCAGGAGGATGTAAAATACAGTATAGAAAATGGAGTAGCAAAGAACTTATATGCATGACCCATGGACATGAACAATGAAGGGGAGGTTACTGGAAGAAGTAGGGGGTGCTGGATGGAAGGGGCAAAGAGGAAAAAATTGATACAAATATAATAGCATCATCAATAACATATTTTTTAACATTTTGTCAGATATAAGTACAAGTACACATGCTTTTCTCTGAATGATATTTGCTTGGAACATCATTTTTCTACCTTTTCATGTTGAGTCTATATTTGTCCTTGCAGCTGAGATGTGTCCCCTGAATGCAGTATGTGATTGGATTTGGTTTGTGATCCAATCTGCTACACTATGCCTTTTATTGGTGAGCTCAGTTCATTTCCATTTAGGGTGACAATTGACGTATGATGATTTCCTATACCATTTTATCTTTTTTTGTGTGTTTGTGAGTCTCCATTGTTTAATTTTCCTTGCACTTCTGTCTGCTATTTTACTTTGGTGGTTTTCGGTTATTTTTCTTCTTTTTAAGTATATTTCATTGACTCTGCTATTACAGTTTTCCCAATTTCCCCCCTTCCCCCCCCCTCCACCCTAAAGCCCTCAACCCTCCAGCATTCCCACCCTTAGTTTATGTCCATGTGTCTTACATTCTTCAGCTTCTACATTTCCCATAGTATTCCTGTCCTCCCCTATCTATTTTCTACCTACCATCTATGCTACTTATTCTCTGTACCTTTTCCCCCTCT